CCTCCAGCAGTCTAAGCCTATAGCAGCAGAACTATAGAGATAGCTCAGGATAACCTGAGCTATGGCGCCTTATTTTCTGCTCCGCCCACCTATAAAAATGTATAAAATGATGGACGGGCGGTAGCTCCTACTGCTGAGTCTATATAGATATAAACATGTAGAAACATATTATATTTATAAATATCACAGCGATTGATAGGTTAGGAAAAAGTCAAATTAGTCTCTCTGGATGATATGAAGACGCTTCGAAAAATCACAGGTCATAACGGCTGAGTTCTCTGCTTCTACATTCAGTCTGGTGTTGTCGGCCAGAATATTAGGTACGGGTCGGTAAAAAAACACAGAGTACAATAACTGCAGAGCAGAAATGAGCAGTAAGACTGTAAAAATAAACAGCAAAATATGACATAAATTAAAATAAAGACCAAAGACCTCTCTGATAGCTCAGTTTAAGGAATGTAAGAATTGGATGCATCTGGTTGTACCCAAATTTATCTTTGGAACCAGGAAAATAAACTGCAACGGCTGCTCTTCAAGCCTTCAGTGTGAGACAGCATTAAGACGGTTTTAAGACAAATATTGCACGACTACACATTAACATGTAAATATAAAAACAGTAAAAGTAAGCATCCAGTTTATATAGTTCATCTGAAGAAAAAAAAAACAAGGGTACATTTTTGGGGTGAGTTGCACTTTAAGTGGAAAATAAAATCACAGTTCAAAGCTTTAAATAGATCTATACCGGTTCCTGTATGGAAGCAAATTCTTACCATGTTTCAAATGAAAAAGCATTTTCAGAATTGCTTTTTAATTTTAAGAATGTGGCTGCATTGTTTGACTCATAAATTAAATTAGTAATCAATCATCCTGTTTGCATTTGCATTTTCTTCTTTGAGATTGCACATTTTAAGCCATAATCAAAGAGAAAACACAGCGGACATTGCTTTTTTGTTTTCGTGGCCAGCAAAGTACTGTCCATAACTTGAAAACGAAAAAGCATTCTGAGCGGCGGGCGCAGCAGAGTGACATCAGCAGCCGCTCTTCCTCAGGTCCTTGCTGACCGGGCTACCCATCTTGTTCAGTAGGGGGCGCTGTGCATGTCTGCATTGCATTACATTGTAAGCGTGCGGGCGGGAAATTCAGGAGCAGTCGGTGTTGCAACAGGTCCGTTAGAAGCAGGCACCTGGCATGCTTACAATGTAATGCAATGCAGACGTGCATTAAAGAAGAAAATGAAAATAGGATGATTGATTACTAATTTCATTTATGAGTCAAACAATGCAGCCATATTCTTAAAATGCAAAAGTATTTCTGGAAATGCTTTTTCATTTTCAAATTTTACATTTCAAATTGAATTTTGGTAGGCTATGTATTTGCTGGGGTACATTCTGAAAAATAAATCTTAAATGCCTTTTTCTTTTTCATTTTAATTAAGTAAAAGGATGAGCGGTGTTAAAGAAGAAA